GTGTGGACAGCACAGCATGAGAGTTGGTAGACCAAAGTGCTATTCTCAGCTGTGTCATGGATCTACTGTGTGACACTGGGCAAGTCACTTCCCCTCTCTGCACCGCTTTCCCTTTCCCCACTTCACCTGCTTTGTATATTTAGCTTGTGAGCTCTTGCGGGGCAGGGACTGTTTCTTACTTTGTGGGTGTGTATTGGACCTGGCACAATGGAACCTGGAGCTCAGTTAGGGCTTCCAGGTGCTACTGTTTTACAAATAATAATAGTAAAAAAACAAACCAGATTATTGACCAGATTCTCCTCTCACTTATCCCAGCGTAAATCAGGAGTCATTCCACTGAGGTCAGTGGAGTTACACAGGTACAAAACGTTAGAAAAGAATCAACTCCGTACGTGCCCCGTCACTAACGTATAAAATGTGTCTTTGCTTTGTGCATGACCCAAAGCCTCCTTTGTTGTTTGAGCAAATACAAACGTACCCCAGCATAGAACATTGAGCTCATCTGCTGTTCTGAGATGCCAAAATTGGGGCCACACAGCATGGGTCCCTGCAATGTAAAGGGCAAGGTGACAATGCTGTCCTCGTGTGGTGCTGCCTGCATGTGGCAGGCTCACCTATTGCTTCGCTGATATTTGCTTCAGGGTTGTGTGTTTTCCAGCTGTGAAGTGACAATTTGACTTGCTACCCAAAACTCTTAAGTAGCAGCAGCTGTGCTCCATCTCTTGACAGAAGGGTCAATAGGATACGAGAGAGTTTCTGAAAGAGCTTTAGATGGTGCAGATTGGTGCAGTTCCAGTGACAATACTGCAGTTACATGAATAGCTGCTGAGGGAGGATCAGGTTCTGTGTATTGAGGGTGGATGGTCTAGCCATTAGGGCCCTAGATTCGGCATTAGGAGACCTCCGTTCAAATCCCTGCTAGGCCACAAACTTCCTGTGTGACTTTGGGCATGTCACTTGTCCTGTCTAACTCCTGTTGTGAGGATTGTTATGCAATGCTTGGATACTATGGGGTAGGAGTCATACAAAGACCCGAGAGAGAGAGAGAGAGAGCTTTTATTGTTCATTCTAATATGAAGTGTCTCAGCCTATCATCACTGCCCTTGGGGTACTATCCCGCTGCTCAGTGGTATGGGCCACCAAATTCACAGCCATGAAAAACATGTCACAGACTGTGAAATCTGGTCTTTTGTGTACTTTTATCCTATCCTATACAGATTTCATGGGGGGAGACCAGTGTTTCTCAAATTGGGGGTCCTGACCCAAAAGGGAGTTGCAGGGGTGGTCACAAAGTTATTTTTGGGGAGTCACGGTCTTGCCACCCTGACTTCTGCTCTGCTTTCAGAGCTGGGCGGCCGGAGAGCCGCGGCTGCTGGCCAGGCGCCCAGCTCTGAAGGCAGCGCCTCGCCAGCAGCAGCGCAGAAGTAAGGTGGCAAGACCAGACCACGGCATCCTTCCTTCTGCGCTGCTGCCGGTGGCGGTTCTGCCTTCAGAGCGGAGTTCCCGACCCGCAGACACCGCTTTCCAGCTGCCCAGCTCGGAAGGCAGCGCTCCCACCAGGAGCAGCCCAGAAGTAAGGGTAGCAGAACTGCAACCCCCCCCAACCCCCAATCTCCTTTTGGGGTCAGGACCCCTACAATTACAACACTGAGACATTTCAGATTTAAATAGCTGACATCATGAAGTTTATGATTTTTAAAATCCTATGACTGTGAAATTGACCAAAATGGACGGTGACTTTGGTCGGGCCCTAGCTATCAGGCTATTACTCCCTGCACTCATACTGAATCATCTCTCTTCTGCCTTTGTGTTTTCTGCCATCAGACATCAGTCCCCACTATGCATGCACATGCTGTTCAGCCAACATATCCACCTTTCCTCCGGTCAATCCAAGCATGTCCATTGCTCTTCTCTGAATTCTAATTCATCTACACCTTTCTAGGAAAGCCTTGCCCAGATCCAAACACAATACTCCTATTGAAATGCCCGCTCAGGGGGACTGTGACCTCTGTTTTTTGGGACGTGAAGCCTACGTACAAACAAGCCCAAAATTTCACGGGTCATTATTCCTGCCACAATGCGTTGACAACTTTTGTCCCATTTGCTTACTGCTGTCACTGCGAAATCTTCCCAAATGTTCTCCCTTCCACTGATTTGCCTGTGCTTTGTACTACTTTAGGAACAGGAATTGTCATACATCAGATCAGTGGTCTATAGACTCTGGTATCCTGTCTCTGACAATAATCAATATCAGAACCTTCTGAGGAAGGTAGAAAGCTCATGTAATGAACATCACGGGCTAAAATGCCCAGGAGGGAATTTTCTTAGTAAAACCAGGGAGCTGCTGGGTGATATATGTCAAAACATGTTCAGCATTAACTTTTCCACCTGTAAAATGGTAATAATAACACTGAATTAATTCACCAGGGTATTAACATTTAGGCCCAGATTTTTAATGTTATCTCGGCATTGCTCCCCTCAGCGTTGCAAGGCCTAAGTGGTTTAGATGGCTAAATCCCATTGATAAAAGTGACTTAAGTACTTAGGCCCTACGTACCGTTCACTTTCAGAGACGTAGGCGGCTTAAGTCAATTTTGAAAATGAGACTTAGGGCAAGTCTGCACTTAAAAAGCTGCACGGCTATGGCGCTTTAATGAAGACGCCCTAAGCCACCGGGAGAGAGCTCTCCTGTCGGTGCAGTTAATCCACCTCCCCTGGAGAAGGTAGCTAGGTTGTTGGAACATTTCTTCTATCAACCTAGTGCTGTCCACACCGAGGCTGAGGTTGGCTGAACTATATTGCTCAGGAGTGCGGATTTTTCACAGCCCCCAAGTGATAGCTGTGACCTCACTTTTTAGTGTGTCCCCGGCCTTGGGCTATCTCTACACTACAGATGTCACAGGGACACAACTATGGCACTGCTGCTGTGCCTCTGTATCACTGTAGTGTGGACCCTTGCTACAGTGAAGGGAAGGGTTTTTCCACTGCTGTAGTTAATTCACCTCTACAAGAGGCAGTAGCGAAGTCAAGCAAAGAATGTTTCCATTGACCTTGTGGCGTTTACACTGGGATTTAGGTCTGCTAAGTATGTCTTTTAGGGGGGTGAATTTTTCATGTCCCCGGAGCAAGACAACTTTCAGCCGTTTGCTCAGACAAACAAGTTTGTTTACATTTGTAGCAAATAAATGCTGCCCACTTATTATTTACCTGGAAGTGAGAACAGGCATTCACATGGCACTTTTGTAGCTGGCATTGCAAGGTATTTACGTGCCGGATATGCTAAACATTCATATGCCCGTTCATGCTTCGGCCACCATTCCAGAGGACATGCTTCCATGCTGATGATGCTTGTTAAAAAAATACATTAATTAAATTTGTGACTGAACTCCCTGGGGGAGAATTGCATGTCTCCTGCTCTGTTTTACCGGTATTCTTCCATACATTGCATGTCTCAGATGATGACCCAGCACATGTTGTTCATTTTAAGAACACTTTCACTGCAGATTTGACAAAACCCAAAGAAGGTACCAGTGTGAGATTTATAAGGATAGCTACAGCACTCGACCCAAGGTTTAAGAATCTGAAGTGCCTTCCAAAATCTGAGAGAGACGAGGTGTGGAACATGATTTCAGACGAGTTAAAAGAGCAAAACTCCGATGTGGAAGCTACAGAACCCGAACCACTAAAAAAAAAAAAAAAAAAATCAACTTTCTGCGAGCGGCATCTGTCTCAGATAATGAAAATGAACATGCATCGGTCCGCACCACTTTGGATCATTATCAAGAGGAACCCATCATTGGCATGGATGCACGTCCTCTGGACTGGTGGTTGAAGCGTGAAGGGACATGAATCTTTAGTGTATCTGGCACATAAATACCTTGCGACGCTGGCTACCACAGTGCCATGCCAACTCCTGTTCTTACTTTCAGATGACATTGTAAACAAAAAGCGGGCAGCATTAGCTCCTGCAAATGTAAACAAACTTGTTTTAGTGATTGGCTGAACAAGAAGTGGGACTGAGTGGACTTGCAGGCTCTAAAGTTTTACATTGTTTTATTTTTGAATGCAGTTATTTTTTGCACATAATTCTACATTTGTAAGTTCAAGTTGCATGATAAAGCAATTGCACTCCAGTACTTGTATTAAGTGAATTGAAAAATACTATTTCTTTTATTTTTTACAATGCAAATATTTGTCATAAAATAATAATATACAGTGAGCACTGCACACTTTGTATTTTGTGTTGTAATTGAAATCAATATATTTGAAAATGTAGAAAATATCCAAAACTATTTAAATAAATGGTATTCTATTATTATTTAACAGTGCAATTAATCATGCAATTAATTTTTTTAATCGTGATTAATTGCAATTAATTTTTTTAACTGCTTGACTGCCCTAATTGTTTCCCTTGTGGGTGGAGGTTTTGGCATTGCCATGACCTAGATCAGAGACATTCCTCCACCCTCTCCCTCCCCAAAATCAATCAATTTTTTTAAAAAAGTCTCTGACCCCAATGGAAGATGCATGGCATATGGCTGAATGCCAAGAAGGTTGAAGTTTAAATGAATTCAGGTCCCCCATATGCCTGCAATCCTGAGTCTCCTGAACAGGGAAAGAATGAGGGGTGTGTGTAGAGGGGTGCTGTTAAATCACACCCCCAAGAAAAATCCTCTTTGCCTTGAAAATACAGCCGCTGGCTCCCATTTGCATCTCTTCCTTTAGCTCCCTTCTTGCTTCTGTGCATTGGAGTTTCTCACTTTGGAGCCCGCTGCAACTGGGCCAGGGCTTGCCTTAAATTCGCTGCAGAGGGACCCTTCCACGTTCATCCTCAGTCCCTTTTGTCTGCTTTCCTCAGACCCCCAGTACCAAATCTGACCCCTCCTCCTTTTGTGTCTGGCTGCATTTTTGATGCTGCTGCTTTACCTCCCCCCACCCATTCCCTTCTCCGTGTCTAGTTAAATTTCCCCCGCCTTTGTTGATGTCACATCCTGTTTCAAACATCCATCCCTGCTAGTAGTCCCTGCCTTCCAATTCCTTTCCTTTTTTTTTAATCCCTGTCCTCCCTCCATCAGCCCCCCTTTTCAAGGCAAACTTTTGGCAATTGCAGAGATAATCATTTCGTGCTCCGTTGAATTTCTCCTCGCCAATGTCTTTCGATCAGGGGAGCCATTAAATAATCATCATCATAATAAAATTTGTAAAAAAAAAAGCCCGAGAGAGGCAGATCAGAGAGAAGAGGAGACACGGGGAGCTCACTAAATATGCAAAGTGAAGGCTGTGCTAAGCAGATTTCTTGCATTGCCTTCTCGGGGTACTGAGAGAATCATAATAAAAAAAAATTGAAGGACCCAAAAGCAACCCAGGGGAGTCGGTGATCAACGCAGCAACAGAAAATAACCCAGGAGGAGAGGGGGAAATCTGCATGCCAGGTACCTGGAACTGTGTGCAAGAGATGCAACCTACAAGCAAGCTTCTGAGTCTCTTCTTTCTTCTGCTGATGGGCACAGAACTAACTCAAGTAGGTTTCTTTTTTTCTCTCCCTCTCTCTCTCCCAACGCCATTTTCTGCTAAAGCTGTAGGACACAAAAGAAACTAGAGTAGCAAATTGCATCTTTCTGTCAATTTCACTCCCCCTCCCCCAACCCTCCCCCTTCCTTCTTTTTGGAGCATGCAATAGAGGTCATTCATCCAATTCCTCTCCTGCGATGCGGGCGAGCAGTGAGGGGGAGCTCAGGGTGGAGGGATAAAGGTGTTCGTATGCCTGGTGAAGAGATCGGACTTAAAGGGGATTTTTTTTTTTAAGGCTGCCTTTGTGCCTTCAGATCTGCTGTAGATTTTTATGGCAGCCAGATTTGGAATGGGGTGAGGGTGGTTGAATTCAACTTTTAATTGGGGAGGGGGGAGGGAAGGAGAGTTGAATTTCAGGTAAGGTGAAACTGGTGACTCTGTAATGTGACTGCCTTTTGTTTCACTAGGGGAGGAAGGGAATTCATCCTCATCTACCACAACATTTCATCACTGGGGGTCTTGAGTGTTCAGCTTTTTTTTTTTTTAATTTTTTTTTTATTCCTCCTCCTTCTTTGAGAAGTCCACAATTAAGGATGAGGTTGCTACTGTCTCAGTGCAATTCTCAGCTGGTAAATGGACAGGATTTGGGGGTGTATGTGATGTCTTTAAAAATGCCATAGTGTAAGTAGCTTGAAATGCACATTCTGTTATTGGTAAGCTAGGGGTTGGTCAGTCAGTCTGTCTACTTGTGTGTGTTCTATTTTCCCTTGTAAAATATGTAATTTGCACCTGCAATCACTTCTGTTTCATTCCCGCTCATCCCCTCCCCTTTATATAGATAAACGACTGGTGTGGCGGTAGCTTTCCTGATTTAGGGTGACATTTAAATGTCTCTCAGTGTTTCCATTTGTGGCATGCTTGGGGGCTGTTTCTTTCTTTCTTTGATTGCCTTCCTGTACTTTCCAAGCCCACCTATTGTTGAGTTGGGGGAGAGGGTTTTTTTTGAGGGAGTAGAAATAAAAGTCCATTCCACTTCTTTGAGAAACAAGGATGGTTTTGCTTTTTCTTAATCACGCAAGAAAGGAACAAAAGTGATCACAAGGGGATACTCTATGTGGCTGTGTGTGTGTGTGTGTTAATTGTAATGTTGCCTAGAAGCAATAAATAAATAGGAATGGACCCTCCCCAAGAGGCTCTCGGATATAGAACCAATTAGCAGTGGACTCTCATTCCAGATATTTTATGTTTTTTTTAATTATATTACACACACACAATAGCCTCTTAAGTCACTGTCCTGGGAACAGAAATGTAGTGGCTAAAGCATGTTTTACCTACAGAATATTTCTGAGCTGCTGCTGAAGGGAAGAAATCTCCAAAGCAAAGTCTTAAAACGTTGGGACCAAAGGGATGGGGGTGGGGGTGGGGGGAGGCTTATTAAAAACAATTCCAAGTTGCCTGTAAAGTGGAAGGGCTGGGAAGGAATTATAGCTAAAGTGACTGACCAATAAAAATCTGTTGTGTGCATTGAGAGAGAATATGCACCAGGGTATATACTCGCTCACATACACCTGCATGCGCCAAACTGGGCAAAGCAGGGTGAAACGTACAAGAATTGCCCTGAAACAAACAAACAGTGCTCCCTGGTGAAGACCCTGCCATCCTCCTTTGGCATGATAAACACCAGCGATCTTGGGCTGCCTTCTCAGCAAGCTTGTATCTTCCCTCCTCTCTCCCTTCTTGGTCGCCCCCAGGCGAGCATGAGAGTATCTGTTTCATGGGGAATTTGAATTTCTTGGCTGCATGAAACTCTTTCCCCCAACTGCTTAATGGCTTCTTTCTCTCTTTCAGCACCCACCTTCTCTGCCTTGGCATTTTCCTGCAAGGACACCTTAGCTATTGCATCTCCTTGTGCTGAGGCAGCTGCTGGTGTTGGTAGAGTATCAGATTCTGTTTTGCAGGTGTGGAAGAACTTTTGTCCCAACTTTAGTCTGGGCAAATTAAATCAGCCCACTCCAGCTACAAGCTTTGGGCTAAAATCATCCCTGGCTGACTTCAGTGGAGCTATCCCAGAGCAGTGTTTAGCCCACTGGTTTTAAATAAAAACATATAAACCTTGGCTAGATTTTAGCAAAAATAGGAGCTGAGTAGGTACCCTCCTTGCTTGCTTTCACTGTCTACCTTGAGCTGGCAACACTGATTTAGGCTCCTTTCTCCGAACCGCCCTCCTGTTCTATGGGAATGGAGAGCTCTCCAGTGTAGATGTGGAATTGTTTGGCTCTGCAGATCCGTTTCACAGTTTTTGCATCTCATTTCCATGGCACAGCTGCCAGATGCAATCCCCAAATAGGCCTTTCATCTCTGACGCCGCCCAGTTCCCTGCCTCCCACGTTTAATTTGGTGCCAAATTAACATCTCTATCACATGCACTGGAGTCAGGCTCTCATCTGCATTCCCCTGCCCCCTCCAGAGAGCCCAATGGGGGGGCCATGGTTAAGGGAAGATTCATTTCTAATTAGGCAGCTTTCAGTGACAATGCAAAGGCTGTTGTCAACCCCCGCTCCCTCCCTTTAATAACACAAAGCATGCACATCAGCCCCCCCAGATACTCCCCATAAGAGGTGCTAGAGCAGACTTTGCAATGGAAGGTGGTGAGTACATTGCTTTCCTTTAACAACTAACTGCTGCTGTTCTGTGTACAGAAGGGTAACCATCTCCTGGTGGGAAGGGAGAGCGTTGTTTCCAAAACAACCCACTAATCATATCTGAGCACCTAAACTAGAGCTGAATTCTCAAGTAATCCCAGTCACAGCTGGCTTCTGAAAAGCAGGGTTAGCTGTGCCCTACCTCTGAATTCGCTCCTAGAGCATGCGGGACATTGCAAACGGACACTGTGGATTAAATCCTGAAAAAGTAGCACATGCTTGGAATCAAGTCCTGACTAAAAGTTAATGGGATCCCAAGTCAAAATAACAGGAGTTGGCCAAACTTCTGTGTCACAGAGTCTTGTCATTGTTATAACTTCAGCTTGCCCTTTGATTCCCCACTTGTAGTTTTATCCCTTTAGACTTACATGTTATTGTCTTTTTAATTTCAGAGTTATTTCCATATGGAAATATTCAGAATATTAGAGTCCGAGGCTTGTGCTAGCCCAAATCCTTAAATTGCATTTCACGTTTTTACAGGTCAGTGATCCAAATAATGAAATGATGAATATTACAGTTGAATTTGAATGGACTGGATTTTACTGGTACCTGTTGCCATTGGCAGGCAAAACCCCAATTCTTCCATCTACATGCATGCAAGTTTAGCCAAAGTTCTTCTGAGTTCAGAATGAGAGTTTTCTTTCTTTGGCAGCTGGAACCCCAGAGAGATAAAGGGTTACATCCTCAGATGACTTCAGTGGAGCTATGGGAATTTATACCACCCAAGGATCTGCTTCACAAGGTTTATTATATATGGCTATAGATGCAGATTTAAATATAGGCCCTGATTCTTACACTGATGTAAATCAGGAGTAACTCCATCCAAACCACTGGAGTTAGATGAATGGAAAACAGGTTTAAGATCATAATCAGGATTACAGACTGGACCTCTCCTCCCCCCACACCCCATCCCCAATCTTGGTTTATAATGTATTCAGTCTCTCTTGAAACAGGGCTGTTAACTACACATTGAGGTACTTACAAAATTGCCATACCTTTTCCCAGAAGTTTTGAGGGTACATAGAGAGGTAAGAAACACCTTGATATTTATTTAACCAATAAAAATTCAATCCACAGAAGAAATATACATTCCCTGGGGCAGGGAAGTTATTGAATATTTAGGGCTCCCATTTAAGGGTCTAAGGGAACTTTAGCACTGATTTTCAAAATAGCATATCTGGTTCATTGGTATACGGTTTTCATCCCTGGGTGCCCTGGCAAAAAAGTGTGCATTTCCAATGGATCTGTAAAACCCCATAATTGTGAGTGCAAATGCTATCAGTTTGCACCCCTTCCACAATTTTCCAAGTGTCCAAAGCTGGGGGTTTTCTGGTTCATTGACACTGGAGTCAAACAGGAATAACTTCTTTACAGTCAATGGAGTTACACTGCTGGTGTAAACGTGAGAGGAGAACCAGGCATGCATTTTTGCGATCTCACACGTTGCTTTGCCGTTGAAAATGTGGCTCTTAGCTTTTGGAGCCAGAGAGCAGGGAAGGAGGATGGTACTTCTCTGACTCCCCCTGCACATTGATCCCCCTGCAGCTCAGTTCTAACTCACTTTAATGCCAGGCCTTAGACTGTGCTAGTTTAGCTGTAACTATTGAGGTGATTTTCAAATGTTCACGCTGATTGCTAGGCTCCTTCATCCCCTATTGTGGAGCCACATTGTAGAATTAAGCTGCAAATCTGCAGCCTGTAACATGAGGCAGATGCCTCATTTCATAAACCAATTAATGTCTTGTTTCGCTAACTTCAGCTTTCACCAATAAAAAAGACAGGTAATTGTCAGCCCTGGGTTATATTTATTACTCAAGTTATCAGGCCTTGTAATCAGTATTAGAATCACTGTGTAAAATAATACAAAACTAATTACTATCTAACTGAATTAGGTAGATGAGGACTGTAAAACTGCATTGACAATGGAAGAAGCCAATTCTCAGTTATGAGTGATAAACTGCAGCTTTTGCTTGCTATTATGAAATCATGAACCCTAGGGCCATAGTAATGCTCGAGACAAACACTAACATGGCTGTAGAGATGCAGAGGTGGGGAAGGAAAGGAAAAGGTTTCTTTTCAGATTTGTTATTTAATAATTATTAAGCTAAACTCTTCACGAGGCAAAGGGTGTGCATGAACCATTGTGAAAGGGAAGAAGTTTGCACTTTGTTTTTGCACACACCTTTTCATCTGAGGATCTCGGAGAGATCTGCAAATATCAATGACATTAAGTATCATTACTCTTGAAGGAAGTGGGTTTTTTTACGCACAGGTAAACTGAGCCACAGAGAGGCCATGATGAGTCCCG